ATTCCTTCGACACGCAGTGATAAAATAGTAGGTGTCATAAAGAAGAATTTCTATGAAATACTGACTTTTTAATTATATTCCATTCAGACACCCGCTGCGGAAGAACTTTCGCTGCTTGGCGTGCAGTTGGCATCACAATTTCTGTTCCACACAGGATTTCGCACAAAGAAATCGCTCCGTGGCCCAGTTATCGAATGGTGAGTGAAGGAGGATTGGTGATTGCTGGAAATCAACTTATATAATCCGTTCTTTCAGGTATGACACCCTCTCACATCACATACGTTCCTCGTCATTGGTGCGCAAGTGGTTTGCAAATCATGCGCTCCTCTCGCCACCTTCACGCCTGGGCGAGTATATATTGATGGCGCCCTCGCCGGAGGTACGCACCGTGTTCGTCAAACTGGTTGTGTTCTTTTGCCATTTTGCTATTAACGATGAGCCGCTTGTTGGATATGAGGGGAGCAATCTCTGCGAGCAGGTCCTTATTAGTGTGCTACGTCTGCTCAAATCCGAAGCTGCTGATTATGGCAAGCATTTACCGCACTACTTCAGTCTATTCAGCATGTATGTGGGTCTGGGCACGCGAGAAAAGCAACAGTTACTTAAGGTAATTACTTAGAGCTCAGATAATATTGCAATTCTTTTGCTGAAAGAATGCTTTTTTTTAGCTGAATGTGCCAGTGCAGTTTATGCAGGTGGCCATGGACGATGGATCAGGGCCGTCGATTAAGTATCAGTATCCGGAATTCAGCAAACTTCATCAAGTAGTTTCGCATTTGGTGCGCTGCAGCGATGTAAGCGATAAATGTCAGAGCTCCAATCAAAATGCGCGACCTTTGCCCAATCCTTATAAGGATTCCAGTATTTCCCACGAGGAGCTGACGCCACTGTCCAGTGAGTGTATGGATATTCTCTTCAATCGGACCGGGTAAATCATTTGACCAATGTAGAATTACAATAGGTATTAACAGTCTTTTATTACAGCTATATTAAAAAGGTCATCGAGGATACGAATGTGGGTGAAGAGGGCTTAAAACTACTCCAGTATTGCAGCTGGGAAAATCCTCATTTTTCGCGTGCTGTGCTTACTGAGCTGCTGTGGCAATGTGGCTTCGCTTATTGTCATGATATGCGCCATCACACAGACTTGCTGCTGAACATATTATTGATTGAGGACTCTTGGCAACATCATCGCATACACAATGCGCTCAACGGTGTAGCCGAGGAACGTGAAGGTCTTTTAGAGACAATACAACGAGCTAAGACGCACTACCAGAAGCGCGCCTACCAAATAATCAAATGCTTAACGCAGCTTTTTCACAAATCGCCTATTGCGCTCCAAATGCTTAACACCAATCCCACTATTAGCCGCCATTGGAGCATTGCTGTTGAGTGGTTACAGGATGAGCTAGAACGCCAGCGCGGCATTGGCTGTCAGTATAATTCATATTCATGGTCTCCGCCGGCACAGAGCAATGACAATACAAATGGTTATATGCTAGAGCGTTCACAATCAGCAAAGAACACCTGGTCTATGGCTTATGAACTGTGCCCGGAGGAGGTGAGCGAGAAACCTACCACGGTGCTTATATGCAAAGCAATCTACAAAATCTCCTGTACTAATGAACAATCTTTTTTAATAGCAGGACCAGGAAGAAAACAATGAATCTGATTTGGAGTCGAACGATGACAACAAGCAGGATCAACAAGTGTCGCAAACACAGCAGCCGCCTGTGGCAGATGGAATAGTGGGTAATGATCAACAGCAACAACAACAGCAGCAGCAACAACAGCCTGACAACAAATCTGCAAACCATCCACAATTAACAACAATCCCCACCATTGGCGGATGGCCCGGCCCTGCTCCGAGCTCAACACCGACATCTGCACTTGCACCAAACTCAGGATCAATCGATGGCAATGGTATACCGCGTCTGTCACGTCAGCTGTTTAGTGCCTACACTTCAATGGGAGTCGTTTCCTCTGCTGCTCCGTCTGTCGGTGGTGGTGGAGGCAGCGGCAGTGGCGCTAACAGTGAGACCGAGAGCACCGCTCAAGAAACGGGCAACATCGACTCCAACATAAACGGCCTCACTAACAGTTTGGATCACATTAAAATTGCAATGGAAAAGGTAACTAAGTAGCATAACAATGCGGCTTATTGAGCTGCATCTGTTACTGAAGTAGTCCACCTGGTTCAGGTTCCGCCTTGCCACACAAATATAAAAAAGTATATAAATATGTTTATATGTGTATATATATGTATATAAACACACATATAACATACCAATCTACACTACACTTCACAACATGGTAACTTTGTTCTAATTCTTTCTCTGTTTCAAATTATCCAATGTACCTTCTTTCGATTTTTCGCTGTTTTGTTTTGTTGTCCTCTTCCCTTCTACCTTTTTGTTAAACTGTGCGCAGGCAAACCGAAATCGTGCCAACCGAGGAGGTAAATTGCCGCCGGCAGCGGAGCTGCTAATGCCGCCGCTGCAACAACTACAGCAACAACAACTTAAACAGCAACAACAACAGCAGTCTCATCAGCAAAAACATCAACTACAGCTACAGCTACAACCAAAGCAGCAACAACAACTGCAGCAACAACAACAACAACAGCAACAGCAGCAGCAGCAACAACAACAACAACAACGTGGTGATATTAGCAACAGTTCCACCAGCCGCTTAATTTGATTTGCGCCAAGTTAGTTAGAGTTGTTCATTTAATTCTCTGATCCGACCCACATGCGTTATTGTTATTGTTTAAACATTTTGTTGTTCATCGAAAAAGCCAAAAGTGCTTCATATCGAGCTTTTACTATAGGCACGATTGTCATTCCCATTGATGACTTTCCCGGCTGTTATCCTTTTCTTTTGAAGCCGTCGCTTTCTTGATATAGGCACATACACATACGCACACACATTCTGTATATACATTTTAATTCATACATTTTTGCGCACTCAGTTCTTTCTGCTTTATTGATATGCTGACGCTCAAAGCATCCACAAAGTGTTCCACGCGTCTCGTTTCCATATTTAGTTCTCCGACAATTAGTTCTTTTGTATCCATAATTAATATTATTGTTTATTTTGATTCTTATGCATTCGCAGCAGTCGGCGCACAGGAGAGAGCGAAGAAGGGCATTGAAAAAAAAGAATGTGTTTGGAAATGCGGAGGAATGCGAGGAAATAACAGCAACAGAGGCAACCACTACGCCAACGCCCGCAATAGCAACAACAGCGTCTAGTGAAATTGTAACCGCGGCCAAAGCTATAGATGGCACAACACCAGCCACAACAACAGCAGCTACAGGCAGTGAGTCAACATCGATTATAATAGCTGACACAACGGAAACTATCTTAACAACACCGGCAAACCCAACTGTAACAACTGCAACCACAACAACCACAACCCCAACAACAACGACACCAACACCAACAACAACCACAACAACGGGAGCGGCTGAACTCAATTCAATAATGGAGAAGAACTTAATTTAAAATACATAGGAACGAAACGAATAGTGTTTCAATAAAAATTATTAATCGCAACAATAATAACAATAATAATAATAAAAATAATAATAATAATAATAATAATAATAATAATAATAATAATAATAATAATAATACAACTACAATACTAAACAACTTGAGAGCATCCATCAATTGACATTGTAAATTGTTTGGGTGGTTTCAGTGTGGGGACAGACCGTTGTAACAAAAAAAAAATTAAACAAAAATAAAAAGAAAAGAAACAAAAATAGAAAACTAACAAAAAGATAACACTAAAACGAGACTTAAACGCTAGTAGTTATTAACAAATGAATTAACAAATGAAACATAGGCAAAAACAAGAACAAGAATACGAAAAGCGATATTTAGCAGACGTCAGATGCGAGAGGAGGGCAAGAATAGTAAACATTAAGCAAGGGTATGTACCAAGAGAAGGCGTTTAAATAGTTATTGAACTTTACATTTACCTAAACAAATTGCATACATGCGTATACATTACTACACACTTACACACCCCAACAAAAATACACACGCCTAAACACACACACACCCTACAATGGTTTAAGTTGCACGTTAATAGTACGAGAAAATTGTATTTATATATAGTATATATAAATGATGTATTACGCATTGCAAGCGAGCAATCTAAACATTAACTGAATCAAATAAAACCAACTAAATGAGAACAACTGCGTACATACGAACATACATACATACATACATACATGCAAACATAAATACATACTTAGGAAACAAAAACAAAAAATAATTAATTCGGCTGAAATGCGTAAATATTTCAATTAAGGCAAGCAAAACCAAATTGCATCTTCAGTACTCATCAAGCCACAAGTGTCGCGAAAAGCGTTTCAAAACCAAATTCAATTTTCAACCAGAAAATTTGAATGCGAAATCAAAACGAAAATAAATTACAGTATAAAAGCGCCCGAGTTTATAGACAAATGTGGACTAAGAGAGAAAGGAAAAAATTTAAGAAAAGAGAGCGTAAAATAAACTTGATTATGTTTATACTAAGTATATATAAATATATTTTTAATTATTTAGTGTTTTTTGTATTAAGTGAAATTTGTTAAACATTTATTAAATTATTATGTTTTAAGTTGCAAAATAAACGCGAAATGTAAGCAAACAATGCTTCAATTACTTTTTCCATATGTTTTTGGTTGTTTCACGAGCCATAGCAAAGCAAAATGCAAAACGCAAAGCAATAGAACAATTCGATATACACAATGAAATATAAAATTGTTACTGTATTTTATAATTTACATATTTTACATATGTATGCCTGTGAAGTGTGTGTGCAATTAAGCAATAAAACACACACATAACGCATGAATTAAACGAACAAAAAGAGAAAACCTAACGAAAAAGAATAAATGAAAACTAAATTTTTTTGCTAATTAACAAGTTTTTTGTATGGCAGCATTGGCTAAGTCAGATGAAAACCATGGCTTATACAATATAAAATAATTACACCCAGTATTATTTATTGCCTCGAGACAAGTTATAACAAAGTTCCATTAAATGGAAATATCTACGCTTAAGTCTAATAAATGCACGTGGTTTAGCTTAAAATTGATCCGATCAATTTCGGGGCACAGAAATAAATGCAACAAGTAAAGTTCTGTACATAATAAATGCAACAAGTTTCGGTTGAATCACAGCTGATTCCTTAGTTGTTGACATCGTCGTCAACGAATGTTATGACTGCCGCACCCTTGGCCATATTGTCACCAACAGCTCCGCCAATCGATTTGATTGTAGCATCCTTTGGTGCTTTCAAAATATGCTCCATTTTCATAGCTGATAATTTGAGTAGAACTTAGAAAGTTTATTTATAGAAAATAATTTATGTTTAGCTCACCGATTAGCACAGCTAGACTGTCACCCTTCTTGACTATATCTCCGGGCTTGACCAAGATTTTTTCCAAGACGCCAGGCATAGGAGCCACCACACGGGAGCCGCCACTACCTAGCTGATCAGCTTGAGCGCTCAGGAATTTGGGCTGCACCAGCTCAAAGTCCAATTTGCCATTCTTTTTACAAAACCAAAATCAATACGTTGAGTTGAGCAAGATATTTTTTTCGAACTTTCTTACCTCCAAGAATAGCGTTACATGTGCGCCATCGATGTTGGCACTGTAGGTTGATATGTTGCTATCAATGTTAGCGCGTATTTTCAAGCGTCCATTATCCTGAACGCGCTCGGCTTTAATGACTTGCCAAGCGCCGCCATCGACGCGGATATCGATGTTCCCATTATCATACTTTACATCCACGGCATAAACTACAAGATAAATAAAAACGAAGCTTAGAAGTAGAATTTGACTATTAATAAGATGTTGGTATACCTTTGTCATGTGCCTTCAAGTTATAGCTGCGAATTAGTGCGTAATTGAGACGTATATTTGCTGCTGCAGCAAAAGGATCCTGCCGACAGCTGGCATTGGTGCTCGCAGCCTGTAGCTCATTGAAGATCAGCGACAGAGCGGCTTGGCTCAGTTGCTGCTGTTCAACGACTATGGGCGGAAAGAGTGTATCAAAGTGTTCTTCAATGAAGCCTGTGTGCACATTGGCTAGCTGGAACTCCGGGTGCGAGGCTAAGTCAATGAGAAAATTGATGTTTGTTTCGAGACCAGAAATCTAAAAGTGGCATTGGATTAAGCAAAGGCATTCATATACAGTCAAATGGACTACTCACATGATATTCGCCCAAGCGCGCAATCAGCGAGTTTAGTGCCTGGGTGCGATTCTCGCCCCAAACGACCAATTTGGCAATCATGGGATCGTAGTGTACAGATACCTCATCGCCTTCTCGTACGCCTGTCTCCACACGCACCTCAGCACTTGGCTTTGGGGTGTTCAGATAGCGCAATGGTCCGGCGCCAGGCAAAAAGCCACCGCGAGGATTCTCTGCATATATGCGTGCCTCAAAGGCATGCCCGCGGCGTGTGATCTGGGCCTGCGTCAGCGGCAGCGGTTCGCCAGCGGCAATGCGAATCTGCCATTCCACGAGATCGGTGCCGGTAATCATCTCTGATATGGGATGTTCGACTTGCAGACGCGTATTCATTTCCATAAAGTGAAAAGACAAGTCCTCTTTGTCCAGTATAAACTCAACAGTGCCCGCACCTACATAGCCCACGGCCTTAGCTGCGCGTACGGCAGCTTCGCCCAGCTCACGACGCAATTCTTCAGTTAGACCAGGCTACACATTAGGCAAAGAATTCAGATTAATTATTTTAGCTTAATATCAAGATGTTAACTCACCGCTGGGGCCTCTTCAATGATTTTTTGATGACGACGCTGCACTGAGCAATCGCGTTCCCATAGATAAACAGCATCACCATATTGATCAGCAAATACTTGCACCTCCACGTGTCGGGGTGAGCGCACGTAGCGCTCGAGCAGCACTGAACTATCGCCAAAAGCCTTCAAGGATTCAGTGCGCGCCGAGTTCAAAGCAGTAAGAAAATCTTCGGGTTTCTCTGCAATTCTCATACCCTTACCGCCTCCACCACGCACCGCCTTGATCATTAGGGGAAAGCCAATTATGGCAGCCTCGGCTTGTAAACATGCGTCCGACTGGTCATCGCCATGGTATCCATTAATAATGGGCACTCCTGCAGCTGCCATAATGGCCTTGCTGGTGCTTTTTATGCCCATATCGCGTATGGCTGAGCTGGGTGGGCCCATGAATATGACACCTTCTTTCTGACACAGCTCAGCAAACTCTACTGACTCGGAGAGAAAGCCATATCCGGGATGTATTGCTTGCGCACCTGACTGTTTGGCGATCTCCAGAATTCGTTCGCCACGCAAATAAGACGCTGCCTCGCCAACGCGATATGCTTCGTCGGCCAACTCAGTGTGCAGGCTGTGCTCATCGGGATCGGAATAGACAGCCACAGTTCGCACACCCAGTTTGCGAGCAGTTCTGATGACGCGACATGCTATTTCGCCTCGATTTGATATTAAAATTTTGTTGATCGGCTTTACCTTTGGTGTGGCTTTTGTGGCCATGCACCTGCAGAAGATAAAGTGTTTATGTAACAATTACCTACACAAAAAGACGCTTAGTTTTCTAAATGTTGTCTTCCTTGGCCTGCATTACCTGACGCTGTTGCCGAAATTTTGCAAAAGTCGTGTGTACATCTTGCTGCTAACTAATGTAAATAATTAATAAATTAAATTATTTTATTGCCAGCCGTGTTATCACAATCGCTTCGCACACGATCAATGCGATCAACACTTGTTGTTGCGGTTCGTAACACATGTACGACGATACATCGATAGTCAATAAATTTTTATCGATAGCTCAAACAGCTGGGCATTGTTTTGTTGTGATTTAGAAATAGTTGTAAGGCAGTTGGCAGCTCCAAAATTTAAATTAATGCCGCATTTTTATATAGCTTTAAACGTACATATAAAACAACTTTTTATTTTATTAGTTTTAAATATTACGTTTATTTTAAAGTAAACACTGGAAATCAACTAGACATTTATAGTGAGAGCTAGTGGAACGATTACTCAAGAACTTAGTTCGATAACACAGTTTAGTTATCGAATCAAAGCGGAACGATTCGATGCAAACCCAATGGTGACCGGCGAAAATTTGGCTAAAAACTTACAATAGGATTTTACGAATTGAAGGCCCCTAAGAAGTTGTGGAGTTTTAAGGTGAATTTGTAGGCTATCATTAAAGTCAAGTAGCTGTCCTTATTTGTTTATTTTGAAAAACTTATTTCACATGTCGTTCATAATAGGGCTTCATTGAAAGCGGGATTGAAGCATGGACAAGCGCGTCACTGTCCTGATGCCCAATGGTCGTCGGCAAAATGTCAACGTGAAGGCCGACATGACATTACTGGAGATCCTGGAGACGGCAAGTGCAAAGCATGGCTTCGACAGCGAAGAACATTGCCTCAAATTCCACAACAAGGATGTCAGTCTGACACAGCAATTCCGTTTTAGCGGTCTGCCCAACAACTGTGTCCTGGAAATGGAGCCGACGGACAAACGGCGGCCGGTGAGCAACGTTGTCGTATGCATTCAGCTGAACGATGGGTCACGCAAGCAAGGAGAGTTTGTGCCGAGCAATAACGTCTGGAGTGTGGTGCAGCAGCTTTTCAGTGTGCAATCAGAGTCTTACGAAAGTCCGGTTATCATTTATATGCGTAGTGAGGTTATTGGCGCAGATAACATGCGTCAGACCACATTGAAGTCACTGGGCATAATCGAAGGACGCGCCATGATGCGATTAATCGACAAGAAACCGGAAGACCTTAAAAGGCAAGCTAACGTGTACAAACCGGCCGCGGTGAAACCAAAATCAAAGGACGACGAGCCCAGCACCTCGCGCTCAGCCATGGGCGCCTCTGGGACTGGTGGCGGTGGCTTTGCAGTTACCAATGATATGTTGAAATCGCTCAAGCGCACTGCTCCCGATGAAAGCTCGTCCACGGCAGCTGAAACTGCAGCTTCTGCCGAAACAAAGGCACAAAAAAGTGAACCCGAGCAACCGAAATATGACTGGGGCAGTGGCTCGGGCTATCAACTACACAATCGCAATGACGAGTCGCACTATACGGATGATGTGGATGAACATTTCACAAAGAAGGCTCCAGTTGTACATATAATTGGTCCACGAAACGCTATAGTGTTTTCACTGGATGCTGCCAACAGACACAACGATGATTTGCCCGATTCGTTCTTCGATTTGACTGTCAACGATTTGAAAATGGTGCTGCGGGATCTGAAGCGTACAGCCTCTGGCAATGAGGATGCGCCTTTGTTAACGTCCAATCTACGCGAATTGGAACGCCAAAAGGCGATGCTGGCAAAGCTGAATCAATACAAGGACTGCGTGCTACGCATTCAATTCCCCGATCGCCATGTGCTCCAGGGCATCTTTAAGCCACATGAAACGCTTGAGAAGGTGGCAGAGTTTGTACGCGGATTTCTGGCGACCCCCAGCGAACAGTTTCAGCTATTCACCATACCGCCAAAGAAGATCTTGCCTTCGAACGAGACTCTGCTTGAGCTCAATTGTGTGCCGAATGCCGTATTGCACTTTCTATTCGTTCAGGAGAAACTAAATGCAAAGACTAACAGATTCCTAGACGATAAATTTATCGCTCAGCTAACCTCGGAAGAGGGTGCTCTCTTTGCAGTGCAAAAGTATCGCATCGCCAAGGCCGGCGTCAGCCCTAGTTAGTAGTCGTATTAAAGCGACTTTAAGCGAACAGTTAACGTGATATTAAATGAAATTCGCATTTTTATTGTAAAGGCGACTAACTGTTGCAGCATTGCTTCAACTGTTTGTACAGTTCGCCTGGCATGGCTTATTAAACATCTGGTCCAGGTTATAAATCCATTTTGTCAGCACTTCAAATAAAGTCAATCTCATTTTCGAGTCAATACAAAATGCTCGGGTCTTACCATATGTAGAGCCACCAATGACAGGACACGTGGCATGAAGTGCATTTGGATGCCTTGCACCACAGCTTTGTAAATTGTGCCACAGCAGTGCAGTTCCTTTCTCGGGCCTGATGGTTAGATTCAGCTTAGGAAATATTGTAGCACCGACCAGTTCAACAGCTTCCAACTATCAGAGAAAGGACATATTCATCATGCTTATTTCAGAAGCTAAAGATTCTTACATAAAATAATACACCAGCTATGCGATTCCTAGGTCGATCTGCCTGAAAAAGTTAGGCTGGCTAATCTATACGGAACTATATAGAATATATGTGTTTATTTACCGTTTCAAGCAACTCATCCTCTTCTAGATGAAAACCTACGCCAATGTCGTCGTTGTTTAAGTGGAACACTTCAGAGTGATCCATGTTAAGGCCAGACATATCTACCACTCTCTCTTTTATAGTCTGATCTAAGTCACGCAGTGGGGATAGTTGCTCCTCATGTGCCAATGGTGGGTTTAAATTTAAGCTTCTGTTTAGCAAAGATTCAATTTCGCTGTTGTAGATCGCCTTGTGATAAAGCAAAATGAGTGGATCCAGGCTGAGCTCCTCCATTTTGAGTGGTGCAATGCGTAGAAAGGGCGTCATAAAATTGTTATAGCGACAATGCAGGTGTGTGGGTCGTCGGAAGCCAGCCGAGCAGTGTTCCCTAATGATTGCCATTGATACCATCTCATCATCGTAGTCTATTATATCCAGTGCCTGATTTAAGTGCCACATTCCAAGCGTGTGCTCCCTGCGCCTTACAAGAAGTACACCTAGCCACTTGTGTAGGTTCTTTTCACTGAAATTATAAACATTGTATTTATCCTTTTGACTTGTATCGTATAGCGATAGCGAGATATTGAACCACACTTCAGACTTTAAATACTCCTTTTGAACATAGTTAAACATTCCCAGTGCATAACAATCCAAAGAGGAGAGAGCAGAGCTGAGAATGGAAACAAGAATGATAATAAGATAGATATAGTATAGCAGTTCATTTGATAGGTATTATCAGACATACTCTGGCTGTGAATATTGTAAGAGAGTACCTTCTGCCAGCTCTTTGGGGCTCAGTTGATAATACTTTATCAGCAGCTCGATATTGCGATTCGCATCCTGCAGATCGACAGCTGTGGGCAATTTCGAGCGCAGGTGCTGCGCATAAGCAATATGTGCTATAGGCATAAGAAAAATGCGTAAAGTTCACATATAATATATATATATATCATGATACTACCCTCTCCAATCTTTTGCTTCATAAACAAAGCCCATTTATGCCAATCCTTCTGCTGATGTCGTATGAGAGCGAAACTGCTAAGCGGATTGCTTCGAAATGTCTCAAAATCTGCGCTCATTCTGCTCGCTTCATTACGAAAATTTTCCACGGCTCTGGGGAACATAATCATAAAAATATATACAAAAAGTTTTTGAATAGAAATTACTAACTGTTGCGTTAGGTCAAGTTTAGTCTTAAGCTCCATCACATAGTCATGCAAGTTGTCTTCCAGCATCTCTTCATAGTTCAAGAGGACCTTTAGCACTTCTGTTGATGCTGCATACGATTTTTCTTTTACAAGATTCTTCATGGCACTAATTCTTAAGAATATTGAGATGAGGATTATTTTTATTAACTTCATTTTATTTCTAGGAAGAGATTTGTTTTCAGCGATTAATTGGTTTACTTATTAGATAGGTATACTAAAACGTTTTGTTTTGGAAAATTAGCCATGCAATTGTAATTTTCCATGACTTAATTAGCTGTGGGATAGAATACGCTAAGGTTGATAGGATAGAACTACTTAGTAGAACTAGTAGTAGCATAAATTTAAATAGAGTTTATGGTTATTTATTTTAATATTATCCACTAACTATTTAGCCTGCTCTCGTATCCGTATTTTTATATTATTTTTATAATTTAATAATTATTTATAATTTAATCTCTTATCAGTTTTGATTTTTGGCATTTGAAGTTCGCTGTCAGTTAGCCAGTGTTGGAAAGTGGCGGGCAGACATGTCCATATGTGGAGAGAGACATGCTCAGAGACGGGCACGCATGCGCGAAGCTGTCGTCGCTTTCGAAACCGAGCCAAAAGACCAAAGAGGCCAACAGAGCTCGGCGCTGGCCTACTGTGGCCACAATTTCTGAATCATATTCAGAGTTTTCAGTCGTTGGCCGCTCGTTGAAGCAACTAGTTTTATATAGCGCGCATTCGAGCACGTTTCGAAGTGTTTTCGTAAACGCAGATCGGTAAAGGAGACAATTACAATAACACAAATACAAACACAAATACATATATGTGTACATATATAAATATATATTAAGATATATATTCAATTTAATAACAACAACAAATGGCGAGAATGTGAAAAAGTGAAATACATATTCGCGTCTATTAGCTGAGGCGAGGTCGTTGCCAGTTTATCAATAGATTAACAATTATTTATGTTTATGTGTGAATTTGTTAACTTATTAAAGCAACAGCCCAAAGTGTGCTAATTTAAATGAAACCGAAAAATATGCTAACACAATTAAGCAGACAAACGAATTTAATAAAAGCGTAACGCAAACAACTTTTACCTGTGATTTGTATCTCTTTACAAGCTTTAAACGCAGAACCGAAGCACGTTAACTATTGCTTTTGCTATGCTATTGCTGTTGTTGTTGTTGGTGATGTTGTTGTACCAGTAGGCGGTTGAACGTGCTGACATTTTTTGTTTTTAGGGGGGCGTGGCAACGACAAACAACATGCGACAGCTACAAAACCAAAGAAAAAAATTATGGCGCGAGAGCCAAAAAATCAACCAAGCGGCCCGACTAACTGATTGGAAAGTGTTCGGTCCGCTACGCTAAACGGAAAAAAAATAAAAGAAAAAATAAACAGATAAAAACTGGCCTTTTAGCTAAATATCAACTACACCTGTCTGCGCGTAGAGTCATATTTGCTTGTGTATATATGAAAATTATATTTATAAAAACTATTTATTAATGGAAATGCAAAACATTTTCAGCCCACGCCGCGTTGTTTTTATTAGTCGACCACAGAGGCTGTGGCTCTTCACTTTTACTTTAAACGGAAAGAGAGAGTGTTTGTCCAGCTCATTTGCGTTTCTGTTTACCGGTTTTTTGTTCAATTTTTCAACAGCGGCAATTGTTTATCTGATATCTAACTTTGTTTTCTCAGCAGGCTTTCAAATAAGTAATATACGCATATATAATATGTATAGAGAGAGAGAGAGAGAGGATTGTAATAGCTTCATTAAATTTAATTAAAGCAGCCACTTCCGACTCGCATTGCCCATCTGCGGCAGCACGAGTCGTGCATAAAGCCATTTTATAATATGCTCGTGCCCATATCGTAATAAGCGTTTTATTTTCCATTTTCTTAAGCGCATTAAAAAGCACAAATAAAAAAAACTTAAAATTACAATTACTTCTGCTTACAGCTTTTCAGTAAAGTTATTCAGTGTGTGCGAGTGCGTGAGTGTTTGTTCGTTCCACTAGGAAGTTGGCAGCCAAAAATTGATACGAAGTTAACCAAACTAACAAAAAAAAAACGACGCGACATTTCCCCCTTCCGAATCACAATTAATCAAAATAAATATTAAATATAGCTGAAGAAAACAAAATGAATTTTTTCGTTATTGGATTTCTGATCATGCAGGCGGCAAGTGAGTAAATCGTATTTTTCCTAACAAACTCTGAATGGGCTCTTTTCATGCGGTGTTGGTCGAACTACTTAATTCAATGTTCATTTGTAGAGTATTTTTTCTGTGGTTTGTTTTTATTTTTTTTATTATTAAATTTCTTCATATCAAAACAAGTTTGTCTCTTATGTCTTTCGTTTTATCTCTTGTCAATATTGGCATGTAATATAGTTTTTTAATGCATTCATCTAGTATTTCTTTCTAATTTGTGTAGTAAATCAAGTTTGTGGCTTAAGTCATTTATTTATTTTTGTCTCATTTATTATTGTCCATATTATTTATTGTCTATATTAATCACAGTCATTTTTCGTCAATTGTTGCATATTTTTTTCAGCCAATTATGTAATTTTCCTTAAATCGTTTTAATAATATTTTAAGTTTGTGCTCTAAGTCTTCTGTTTCTTTACAGCCTTTTATCGTAGATATTACGTTTCATTTTATTAATAATTTCGTATATTTGAAATCAAGTTTGCGTCCTAAGTCTTTCGTTTCCGCTACCTTCTCAAAAGAAGTGATAAAGCTTCTTACCGCATCGGCTGTTAACCCAAATATTCTTTTGCATCATAGTTAAGTGTTGTACACGTTACATAGAAGACCGGCTGAGAATGGCTTAGAGAAGAGCTGCTCTCACAACAGGTTATGCATGGTCTAAATTTCAAGTGATTTGCGTTTCAGTTTGGATGCAATTGAGATGAGCAGCAAATTCAATTAAGTTAAGTCACCTGTTCTATGCAGGTGGGCAGTGCTCATAAAGCTGCGCTCAACAAGATTCGAAAGACAAGAAAAACAACAACAACGAGCGCATAAAACCATTTGATTGCAGCGCGCTTTAATACTCTTGTTGCAGTTTTTCGATAAGTTTTTACCCTGTTACACCCTGTGGCTATTTTCATTGGGTAGCATGCAGTTTGAGCGGAAGCAGTTGGGACTTTTATTTAAGGCGTATTTTTGCTATGAATTGAGTTACTTTTACTAAATAAGGGTCTGGCTTGAACTGGAAATATAATGAGTAGGATCTAGCTATAGAGCATCAAATTATAAAGGGATGAAAAGCGAATATTTTCTTAAGCATATTGGATTGGGTAGGAAATTGGAGCAGATATAAAGATATATAAAAAAGTCCAATGAGGATTTTCAAAAATATAATTAAATAATTTCAGATTGAATTGTATTTCAGGCAACATTCTTATTTCCCTTAATCAAATATCATTCACAAGAAATGCAAAATTTTATCCTGAACGGCAGCTCGAGCTAGCTCAAAGCGCACTCTTTTATAGGGTATTACTCATTCGTGCACCCTTGACTTCATGGTTTCGTTTTTGCATTGTGTTTTGGGTTTGCAGTCTTTTTTCTGGTTTACCGCTCGATTATTTGGCTAGCTTCTGTGGTTTTTGGGTATGTTTAATATTTCAGCTCGGCGGTTTCTCAATGCAAACGAGCTCGAGCATTTAAAGCCTTGCTAATGTAACTTGAACGAAACAAAAACAACTTGATATGTGTTTTTCGTTTGGAGCTATAAACAATGACTTGCCACAAAATGTGAAGCGTACTAAAAGTCTTTTTGTTCTGTGTGTTGATTATCGAGCGATTGCAATTGATAGATTCAGTAGATGCAGCTCCCTCCGGACTCGAGTGTGTCTCATTAAAAGGCGCACACATTTAGTTCTAGAGTTGAACTTGGCTGAAGTGAAGCAGTGACCCTCCGCCCCTCCTTAGTTAGGCAGTTAGTCATTATTTGCATCCATGGCCGCAATTTGGCAGGTGTGATCGTTTGGCTTCGCTTGGTCATATAAATCAATTCGCATGCAAATTAATTTGATATAACCTTCGCACTGCAATTTGGCATAAGCAACTTTGAGTGAAGTGTAACGTTTGATTCAAGTTGGACATTGCCTCGACATTGACGGATGGACATTCTGGCTAGCACGCACACGCCCAACTTAACACAAAAAATCGGTCAAGTTCAGCTTGAAGATGGGCAATCAGACCAAGCCGAACACCATGCGGCGTTAACTGCCAAGCGGCATCGTTTGAAACGGAAAGAGAAGCGTTGATAAATCTGCATAAGCATCAGGCTTCATTTGAATATGACTTGGTTTGTTTTTTTTTGTTTTTGTTGAAACTGTTTGGAATGGAATGCGAAGACTGCAGCTTGGCTCAGTTTTTGACAGCGCTGAATCATATTTGGCTAGAAATGCGGCGAAACTACGCCCTGATTGCACAATCAACTCCGACGGCTAGCGGCTTCATGTGTGTGTGTGTGTGGCCTGAAGCTCAGACAGAGTCGCAGCTTCAGCTCAACTTGGGCAATCGAGCATAGTGATTCATCAGTTCCAAGCCAATCAGCTCATTGAGATGCGTCTGCAGCCGCATCAAGTTGGTTTCCCCTTTTTGCTGCTTTATGCTTTGCTGCGCGTCGCAGACTTTTGTTTTGTGGTCAATGACGCAGCGCTTTAGCATCGCTTCTCTCTCTTGGTCTCGCGCTCTCTCTCTCTCTCTCTCTCTCACTCTGTCTGCTATGTTTTATATAACCCATATTTTGGCAGTGTGATTTATGCAACTTCTTAAGGGCTAGCTGTAGTTGATAATATTGTAATTGAAGCTGTTGCTGCCGCTGTCTAAGTAACCTACAATGCGCATACGCCCCGTGTGACGCGCGTATTTCAAATGACTTTCAAATAGCAATTAGCATTTAGGTTTCTACTTAATTAACACATCAAAACATAAGAAGCAGACAAAAGAAACCTACAAATTGCATTGTCATATTGATGGATCTTAGCACTATAGTAAAAAATATGCTGCCCTAAGTGACTAAGTGAACAATTTGCAAAGTGAAAGGCGCGCCCGTAGCCACCTCTGCTGGCACATGGCAATCAACAGATGCGTCCCTGTATATACCTTATCTTGTGTTTTGTTTTAATGTGTAATACATGCAGCTGTAAGTGAGCTCTTGATTGCTTCATTATTTGATTTCACTTGCGAATTCCTGGCGTCTTTTCGCTCGGCGTGACCTAATCAAAGCTTTCCGCCAAGCGTCTCACTTTGTACACAATTAACAATGAATTATAGCATAATTATCGCATCTTCAGCAGTCGCGCATGCAAGCAGCAACCATAGCACAATTGGTCCACAGCCACATAATTTGTAGGCCTGAGCATGTGGGGTCTATTGTCTGGCTGCAAATAGTGCCATAGTTTACTGTATTAGTGGCGTCTCTCGTAGGCTGGCGGCTATTTGGGCTCGCTCACGCAATCCGTTCGCTCACGTAAGACCTTCAAAGGTCACGCACGCGACTATGACTCCAACTGTGACTTCATCTACATCTCGCATCTCCCATCTCCACTTTAATCTCCAACTACCAGAGTCATTTTGTTCACCCCGGGCTGCAGCGCTTCTGGGCGTCTTTGTTACCATTTGTTAGTGTCGCTTCGCATTTGTATTGCCCTAACTTTAGAGCTAAGCCTGTTGCTCTTAACATTTGTTGTCTTTCAAATATAAATAAATAATCAGCTCTGCTTAGATCAATATATCAATCAAAATATTTGATTACTTTTGACTTATTTTATGATTTTATGACTTTATTAATGAATTTTTTACACAGGCATCTTTATAGCCTAAAATCAGAATTTATTTCACTAAAGGTTTTGTGACGTGCTCAATATGAACTTGAAAATAACTCATAAAATATGTCTATCGAGATATTTTATCTTTGAAAGTATTTGAAAGTAGTTTCGCTCCACTACTAAAACCTCATTTTTTCATACATATTTTTTTATGTATACAAATTTTAGAAAATTTGTTTACTTTTTTGGAATTTAAAGTAAAATTCCATTTGCTTAAATATTAATAAATGAAATATTTTCTTTATTTAATTTAATTTTTAATTCATTTAAATTTTTTTCTTAGTTTTTCAAGTTAAACTAAAATAGCATTTCCTTAAATATTTTTTTTTTAAAAATAATTTTTTTTTATTACCATTTTGTTAAGATTTTTTATTAAATTTAATTTTTTCAACATTTTTTCCGTTAAACTAAAGTTTTATTTGCTTAAATATTTTATAAAAAATTTAATTTTATTTATTAAAAATTTCATTAAGATTCCCAAGTTTAATTTTTTTAAACATTTTTTTCATTTAAACTAAAGTTGTATTTGCTTAAATATTTATTTAACAAATATTTACATTAAACATTATCGATTTATTGCAGGTGAAAGCGCATTAGAGCTTCGGCATGTCAAAATAAATATTTAGCTCTGGTTTGTTATTGTTTTGTGACCATACATAGGCCACACACTCACACACATCTATACACAGTCAGTCAACAACACACACTAGACATGCAACAAATGGCTCTCAAATTGCAATTTAATTCGACATTTTTGAAAGATCTTGAAGTGGAGCCGCAACGTTGTCTGATGGGTGTTTTGTTTTGGAGCCCTATCACTCACTGTCAAGACCATCGTTCAATTAACATAATTAACTGACAAAACGAATTAGCATGCGGATTGGCAGCAAACACTTTACGCAGATGCTGGGCCGCTATTGCTGCCCAGTGTTTTGGGCTGGTTTCCCTTTTGACACTTGACTGAGATACCACTCACGCGTAGGTCCAACGGTCGAACTATGTCTGGCTCACAAGGTCAACTTGGCAACACTATCTTCTACATAGATCGTCAGATCTCAGCGTTTTCAATCATGCCGTGAAAATGATCAGCAATTCATTTGGCTAAGCGTCTTAAGGCATCTCTCGTGGGAAATTTGAATCTCATAAGTTGGCGAGGTCAAGCTTTGATGTTTTGGCCATAATATTTTGTCTAGACCTGAAAGGGAAAGGAACTCCCAGAGTTATGCTAAATGCAAATCGTTTAATTCAATTCAAGCTGTTTCCTTTTATATTCGTTTGTTTCTTTGAGCATTAACACTTTAGTATTTCTGGGCTATACGCTCTTTAGATTCCGATTTGAACAATGCGCTGCGCTTGACAATGAACAACAACAAATATTGAACATAAAAGCTAGCCAACATGAACACAGATGCTGGGCGCGGAAAAAAATATGTTTGACTATATAAAAGACAAAAATACTTTATATATGATAAAAAGTGTTCGCCAAAAGGAAAACGAGCAAACGAAGGCTGCAAAAAACCGGTTGAAAAAGAAACGGTTCGAGCCTAAAATGTTTATTTATTGTTAACTACATATTGGAGCTGCTAATAGAAAACGTTTAAGCTGCAACTCTTATGATATCTTTGGCTTCAGCTGTTGGCTTAAGGCAAGCAAAGCTCTTGCTCAGAGATTAAGTATAACTTAAAACATGGTCTTTTAAGCATTACCTGGACATTTCTGCCGAGTATTTTGAACCAAGTTTACACACCGAAACCTAAACCAAATTGGAATTCGTATTTGCTTGTTATAAACTCGCAGCTCCGACTTAGAGGTTAAGGCTTTATAGAGAGAGAGAAACACTTACCAAAGTTTTTAATTATTAATTTTTTTTTGGCTGAACTAAAATGCTTGGGCGCAGATAATCAAGTGATGGGCCATAATTTATACAAGATATTTGCATTTAGCTCTGGGGCCGAGCGATCGTCAAATTGAATTAATGTCAAGAAACAACAGCAAAACATTCCGCAAAGCAACAGCAATTAATATCAATGCTTGTTGTTGTTACTGTTGTTATATTGTTTGTATCTGCTGACTGCTGACTGCTGACCCACTTTCGCGGCGAGGTGCTAACTGGATGTGGCTGGCAGCTGTGGAGATCTTCTCCTGCTGAGGAAAAGTACACAACGCCGCGCCGTCATCGAAACGGAAAGTAAGACTTAGCTACGCCTAAGTTGTGGCTCGTGCGTCGCATCGGTCAATGGCATATGCTAACCGACCGGCATTATCGACTGCATATTTATGCCTCATTATTTGCCCAGTTTCAATTTCAATTTCTATTTCTATTTGCTCGCCGTGCGACTCCAGCGACAAGTCATAAAGCTTGCAGCTCGAGCAAACATTTCATGCAGACGCGCGCGAGATGATGACGAGTGAAAGCGGCCTCTGACTAACTTATGGTTGTATTTGTTGTAAGTTTAGTTGCTGTTGCTTTGCCTGTTGTTGTCTCTGACAGTGCACCGGTCTATTTGCCGGCTGTTGCTCTTCGCCTGTATAAACCTTTTGAAGCGCTGCACAAATTTGCTTTGCCGTTTTCTTGCATACCAATTGCAAATACAAACATTTATTTTGTTGGCCGTGGCTAATTGTTCTGCCTGCCTTTTGCCTATTTATTTGTGTCTGGCTGTGAATTTCGCCCTGAGCCTCAATCTATTTTAATGTCTCTATTAACAAATTTGTCTGCCCATTTCTGGTGGGTCATTAAAATTGCTACTCGCTTCGCAGCGTGGCCCACGCGGCGAATGCCTAATGCAAATGGGTAAATGGGTAAAAGTGCAATTAAGTTTGACAAAAATCTATTTAATATTAAATTTGGGTGAGTCGGCTGGTATGAAAGTTTTCTAAATATGATTGGCTTTGGAATATTTTCGTGTGCCTAAAAAGGAGTCTTAAGGGATTAATTTTATTTGCTATGCTTGATAAGAAATACTTACAGAGCGATATACCTGTATTTATCTAACTATAATGTATATATATATATATATATATATATATATATATATATATATTCATGTATACATACATACAGATGTTGTCTGTGGAGTAAACTTGTGTAATTCGAGCTTAAGCTGGTATTTGAAGATTATATCTGTCTATCCAACTGTCAGTCTGTCCGTATGAACTTAAAGCAGAGGCTTGAAATTTATAGTATTATCTCGTATTTACCCTTGTACGATAGTTTGAAGATGTTAGGTAGAGGCGTGGCATGCCCGAAATAACTATATATTTCATAATGTTAACGCTTTTGCTAAAGTGAAATTTGATATATATGTATGTATTTGGCCAACAATGTCTAGTTTAAAAATCTATAAATCAGACAGAAAATTTACCTTTTACTTGCTTACAGGTAGAAAGCCAACATTTTGCCACTGAGTTACTGCTGACGTTAGCCATAGTTAAAAAGTATATGCCTCTTAGATGCGCATCTTCCAATGATTTGGAGCTAGGATCTCTGCTGACCTCGTCCACAGATATTTCTCAATATTTTAAGGTTTGCTTATTGGGAGCGAGGCTAAACTTAAGACTATGATAATAAATGTAGCAAATGCAGACAACTTTGATTTGTGGACAATTAGTATTAATTATAAATGATAAATTTGTTTTAAATTTATTAAATATAAAATGTAAGGAGAATGTGATATGCCAAGAATTCTATAAGGAATATATATCATGCTTAAAGATATTTATTATGACTTCCATTTGGATTTCCTATGAACAAAGTCTATTTGTATTTCAGATATTAAGTATAAATCTTAGAAGCTCAGCATTCGGCATACATAAACATATATATTTTATATATGAGTCTCAACTCATATTTTTTAATTATGCATATCCAATAGTAACGAAAAATAACTTTCTATATAACTATGTGGCCAATAAAGTCTATTAACATAGGCGCGCTAATAGAGTTTACAATATCTTAAACATTGAAGTATCTAGCATAGATATATATTATGTTATATACCTTATCTATAAATTATTCTAAAAATACAATAAGTCAGCTTTGAAAGGAATTCAATTAATAATTCATTAAGAAAACTTGAAGTTTCAGTCTCATTATATTTGAACTAAAAACTTATAATTGCTTGCTAGACATTGCTTTATGAATGTTCGTTATTCTAGGTCTAATGAAAATATGGGAAGATGTTAATGCTGATTTCTCATGGCGACTGCCCATTTGGTGGTTTACGATCCATTAATGGCACCAAGCTGCAGTCTCTAACCCCGAGTGAACCGCAAAGAGACGTTCATCTAAACGAAAAATTGGGCCTCGCTGATGCCAAAGTCCGCATTGTTATTAAAACACGCTCCATTTTCCTTGAACCAAAGCTCGACTGACTGACTGAATGAGCTTAGCTATTAACACAAGAGCAAAAGCCAATTAATTGGCCTGTGGTTGCATTAAATGTATGCCATGTACTCATATCGTATAAGTGATCGATGTTCGGGCAATTAGTTTGAGCTTCAAGTGCGCATATAAGATATGCATGAAATTACTGCAATCTACTCTACTCTACTCTACCTGATCTCCTCTTCTCTACTATACTTCACACTACACTACTCTACACTACTCTACACTACTCTACACTACTCTACACTACTCTACACTACTCTACACTACTCTACACTACTCTACACTACTCTACACTACTCTACACTACTCTACACTACTCTACACTACTCTACACTACTCTACACTACTCTACACTACTCTACACTACTCTACACTACTCTACACTACTCTACACTACTCTACACTACTCTACACTACTCTACACTACTCTACACTACTCTACACTACTCTACACTACTCTACACTACTCTACACTACTCTACACTACTCTACACTACTCTACACTACTCTACATAACTATATCTTAGTTTACTATTAGTCTACGCATCTCTTCTCTAGTCTCCACTCTTCTCTACTCTACCGAACTGAACTCTACTCTATCTGCATATGTCATGTGCTGGGCATGTTATGATTGGCATTTGGTAAGAACCCACTTACAGGGCTCAGAGCATATACATATTTCATGTCCCACTTGACATGCTAACAATTTAATTTGAACTCAAGACGTTGCAATTTGGCTTGTTATTGTTGTTTATGTAGATTAGCTAACAGACAATACGCACACATAATCTGTTAAGTGCCTACTTATAGCACAAAAGTGTTTAAGCTTTGACTTGCTTTTGTTGCTGTTTTATTATTTTTCCTCTCTTTTGCTGTTTGCTGTTTCGAGATATTTGAGGTCTGCGCTCCATAAGGAAGTGGTTTACAAACATATATCTTAAATTCTTATGGATTCATGTCGAAATTGCCTTGGTCACGGCATCATTAGCTAAGCTCTGACCCATTGGCATTTGATCTTTATACCTTAAGCTCTCTCTAATGGCAATTATGAAAAAAAAAACATTTAAAAGGTTTCCGCTTCAATGCGTACAAACGTTTAAGTGTTTAAAAGCCTTTGTTCAATTTAAATATAATTGATATACATGAGAGCAGCTGCTGTGGGTTTTTACCCTTTGATATCTGTGAAAGCATCAATCAAAAGTTTGAAGCCAACGCACTTTGAATTAGATGCGGGGCATCTTTTGTAATACTTTTAAGTTATATTACCATATCTATATATATAAGCCTTTGCAAAAAACTGTGCCACGGGCAGTCACGGCCTATGCCAAGATCTTTGTAATGGGATAACCCAACCCAAAAAGCAAAACTATTTTAAGGCAGGCCAGAGGCACGTTTCCCTACGCAACAAAATAGCTAAAACTAATGTGAAATAATGGACTCTTCGTATTTACACAAATTAAATAACATTTAACATTTATACGTAACATTTATATATATATATTTCAAGTTGATTTCATTGAACATATCCCATTTACATGCTAATCCCTCGCTTTATATACTAACCTAGTACCTTTTGTATCATATTGAAGAACTTTCCTATTCTGTGTTTGCTTTTTCTATTTATTTATAGGATTGGCTTGCGGGACGTGCGTTTTTATGTCCGATTTCGGTTTCACACTCGATTGTAACTTCAAAAAGTCTGGACTGTTTCGTGTACGAAACTTGGGTGGCGTCAAGGCGCATTTCGGTTTAGGTAAATCCACAAAAAAAAAAAAAAAAACAATTTTTCTACTTGAAGAAATCCTTAACCAACCTTTAACTATATCTGCTGGTTTAAAAGTAAGCTGTATATATACCAGTTAAACTGTATATAGATTTAACTCAAGTAGAGCGAACAGAATTCATATTAAAAAAAAAAAAACAACAATAAAATGAAAATAAAAATAATTTGCAGCATTTAAGTCATCAATGAATTAATGCCAATGCCAATGCCAATGCCGAGTAGAGCTGCGTTTAGAGTGTAGCCGCGGTTCAATATCCGTAGCATTAGCATTGACCAGTTGACCAGTTGATCAGTTGATCAGTTGATCTGTTGATTAGCTACACCTTTTACCTGTACATACAATGCACACAATAGTTATGGGTCTAAAGACAAAAGAAGAGTCGAACAAAAGCGATTAATTATTAACTTGTTTTGGCTTTGATTGATGAAGTGTCACGGGAGTGTTTGGTCGAGTCTAGCCTAATCCGTGTTGTGCTTGCAGGTCTCAGTGTGGGCGACGAGCTGGGCTTCAAGGAATCGCTGAGCAATGTGGAGAGCGATCGCAGACGCGCCATCAGCTATAGGAACGGTGCGCCGGAGCTGGTGGGCGTGCTGCCCTCGGCGCGACAGCAGGAGGTGAGTGATGTTAAACGCAGTCAAAGCAACTGCTAACTGTAACCACCTTCGTTGCAGGCCACTGCACCCCAGCAGCACAGTCTGCCGGACAAACGCATTAGTTCACGCTCCACGGCACCGGGTCCCTACAATCTGCAATTGCTGCAGCAGGCGGCGGTCAAGAATCAAGCACAGCAGCAACTGCAGCAGCTGCAACAGCAGCAGTTACAGCAACAGCAGCTACAGCTACAGCTACAGCAACGGCAGCAGCAGGCACAGCTCATGACAGAGGCTCGCCCCCTGCCCTTGGGCGTGCCCGCCTTTCGGCCCATACCACAGAAACCCGCGGCCAACGAGGCCATCGCACAGCGGCGCATTGCCGTGGACACGACACAGCCGCGCGTCAGCGTCAACAACAAGCTGGTGGATAGCAATGCGAAACCGGTAAGTGAAATAGTCAACTTTAGCTCGCAAGCCACCTTAACCTTTGCTCCCGTGCAGCACTCCAATCGTACATTCCATGCGGACAATGCCATGGTCGTGCAGCCAATTATTTCACAACCCGTGGCTGTGCCTGTCTTCCAGGCCATGCCCGAGTCCATTGCACGCATTGCCAGTGCAGCCAAGTCGGAGGTGGCACGACCGGAGCAGCGCAGCGCGCTGGCCAAGCATCCCAACTATTTGCAGTTTGAGGAGCCCAAGTTTGATCTGAAAGATGTGACCGTTGAGGAACTGGCAGCGGCAGCAAATGTCACCGTCGACACCATCAAACATGCCATCTACGTGCGTGAGCAGCAGCTGAAGGCGGAGCATCGTGCAATGCTGGCTGCCAAGCTGCGAGAGGAATTTATACGCACTTCTACAGTGAAGACAACAACGACGACCTCAACGACAACAGAGAAGCCCAGGCAACTGGCTGAACACAAGGTATCCAAGGTACGTTGAGGTAGGTGAGCTTAACTGATGCCGCCACTAATAAATCTATTGACAGGTGATGAATGCGCCCAAGGAGTACTACCCGGTGGGCTATGATAAGAACTTCGATGACAATTTCAAGTCCAAAGTGGACTTGCCGCCCACGAGCTTCTCCTGCGCCAGGCAAAAGCATTTTCCGGGCCTCTACGCTGACACGGATCTGGGCTGCATGGTGAGTTATTGCTGATCCATCCTGGCACACTCTTCATTTGGCCCCTTTCCCTGCCAGGTCTTTCATGTGTGCGCACTCACGGACGACGGCATGGTGCGCAAGTCCTTCCTGTGCCCGGAGAACACGCTCTTCGATCAGACAATACTCAAGTGCAATTGGTGGTTCTATGTGGACTGCAGCTCTAGCACCAGCGTCTACGATTCCAATATACCCATCTCGAAGAGCTACCAGCTAATGAAGTCGCTCACCTACTTCTCCAAGTACAACAACCAGAAGACGGAGCAGGAAGGCGACAAAGATGATAATGCTGTGGACATTGATACGCTGCGCGATTCTATGGATAGCGTCTCTCGCCGCCTGGAGCAGGCGAAGAACGCCCAGACCCAGCTGGAGGAGGCGCAACAGCCGGCGCAGCCGAAGGCCGAACACGAGCATGTTGTGCCCGAGGGCGAGAGCCAACAGCAGTTGGCCAACTAGACCCAGCTAAGACCATATTTAGTTGCTATCTGAGATCTAGGTTAAGTTAAAGTTCAAGATCGAGCGTCTCTGGTCGATTTGCCGTACATAGTCAATGTCTTGCGAAAGCCAACGGGGTTGTCTGTAGTCTCTGGCCAATCATTAATCATCACTTCCTATGGCAGCGCCGGGGCAAAGGCGCGGTCCTAGCTGTAGACTCTACTCTATAGCTATCTATCATTAAGTGGATCATCTCTAGTTTAAATCTACGTAATCTAGTGCGGTTAGCTTTACGTTCTACATTACTTATTTATTTATTATATATTTCGACGAAATAAAACACAAAGCTCGTTATTCCCGTCAATCAAAGGAACTATGCTACTCTAACGCTTAGCTTAGCTTAGCTTGTATGAAATATTTAACTGGTGAAGAGAGGTCACGGTAAAGTTAAGATCAATAAATTGTGTTCCCTATGTTTCGTTTGTGTTTTATGTATAACAAAGCAGCTATGAAGCCTTAAGCTTTTAGATTAATTAACTTGAAGTACATGAAAAAGCTTTTGCGGAGAACTTTGCGAGCAAATGAAAGCTTTGAAGTTTATTGATTTATTTTAATAGCAAAATAAATTGGAATGCGATCAACTTTTGAAGCAGAAGTAAACCTTTAGCTGAAGTAATTGAAACCTATACAATAATAGGCAATTTTCTAGAACCCATGGCTAAACTAAGTGCTTTTATAATATTCGAATGCTTTTATAATATTTTATAATATTCTGCAAGAACTTTAAAAAGCCCTAAAGTCATATACTAACTTTAAAGCAGATTAATATTTTGTGGTATATAAAATCCAATAAATGATAGATTGCAAATTTAAAATATAAAATATGAGCTTAAAGCTTATGAGAAGTTTTCAATATGGTAACTATTGAAAAGGAAGTTTAAAAAGACATTTGAACTTTAAGTGAGATAAATTCAATTTCCTGCAAAATTTTCATATAGATATCTATATTTAAGAGTTTCTTAAAGATAATGTAGAGTAGAAAGCTCTTCACTTTCCAAACTGGCATCTCAAATGATTTCTTACCATTTACTACATCTTCTATGAGCTAAATATTTTGGCACAAATGGCACTCAAAACAAATAATATTTTTACCCAAAAATAAAGGTAGCTAGGGTAAGTAACTTCTACAATAGTTCGCACATTCATCAAATCTCACATAATTCAACTCCAAAAAAAATAAAAAAATTCATAAAGCTCATGACATTACCTAGAAAGAGTGCTCGCAGCTTTTATTGAGTAACTGTCCAAGTCCAAGCTTCACACAAAGACAATAAATATTTAAGTGCAACTTAAGCTAAGTGGCCAATGCCCGTTATGCGGTCTGGTAGGGGCGTGTCCTATGACCGGTTGCGCTCGGCGACTGCTCCGCATTGCGATCGCTTTTGTCATGCAGATGAACCGCTTCACTGAGCTCGACGTTAGCGTGCAGCGCCGCATCGTTGGCATTGAGTTGCGCCTCCTGGGCGGAGAGTGTTGCCTTCTCTGCCGCCTCGCGCGTTTCCTCGTAGTCCAAACGCGCTGCATAGGCCTGCGACTCGGTCTGCTCCAGTTTGCCCTTGGCCTGGGCCACCATATCGATTTGTGACGACAGCTCAGCCGCTGCCTCAGCGGCAGCCTTCTGTGCCAGCTCAGATGCGGATTGGGCATTGTTCAGCGCTGCGGTCAGAACGCTCACATGGTTAATGGCCTGCTGTGCGGCATACTGGGCTGCCTTGGCCGACCGTTTGGCCTGCTGCAGTTGGGTGAGCTCTCGTTCGACGGACTTGTGTGCCTCGACGCTCTGCTCCTCCAGCCTGTGCAGAAGCACCTCCTTGCCCTTGAGCACGGCGACTGCAGTGCCCGCTGCCTGAGCAGCAGCTTGCGCCAATGTGCTCTTGGCCACATACGAGGCTTGCTTGCCAGCCGCATTCTGACTGGCCACAGCCGAGATGGCCTGATCCGCTGACCCCTTGGCAATGCTGCGCAAGCCATTGTCCACCAGATAACCGCCACTGCTGCTGCTGCCATGACTGCTGTGTGGGGCATAGTCGGAGCTCGCATAGTGGGGACTCTCGTATTGGGGTTGACTTGGCGCCGCAAACTCATCGTGGTTGACGGCCTCGAAGCTGTACGGTGGCAAATCGTGCTCAACAACCACAGTGTGTGTCGATGCCGAAGTCTTTTGTGGCTGTGGTGGCGGCGGCACATTCAGATGATAATGAGCATCCTTACGTTTTACCTTACGTCCAAATGCTGGCGCCTCACCTGGTTAGCCGGAAGTTAAGCAGCTGCATTTAAAGAAAGTACGGCCCCAACTTACCAAACAGCAGCATCAGCAACAATAAATGCAACATCAGTGACATCTTGGGAGCTTTTGTGTTTATGCAACGTTGCGGCTGTGAATATATGAAACAAAAGTCTTTACATAATCGCAAGGCAGACAGGAAGCTGTGGGCGCTGCAGGTGCGCGCTCATTCCTGCGGCTGATCAATCTGGCTGAGGACAAAGACTTTGGTCGGAGACAGCCTCAAGGCGTCTTAAAAGACTTCCCAACTACTGCAACCGGTTCGGCTAACTGTAAACTGTGGACATATTGGCGGCCCCAACAAACACAAACAAACAAACGAACGAAGTTAAGCCTTTGATTTAAGCACAATAAGCCAACGTCACGAAGTCGCTGCACAGTTTCATAACATCTGCTGCTGAGCCTTGAGATCAACATATTATCTTGCAAATTATTTATGCGAATATGAGAGTGCCTCGACTGGTGCTCGGCTAGGAGAGGTGTTGCTTACAACAGTTTTTATTGGTGTTATAATTTTTAGTTATAGTATTATTAGCACTAGCTATATTAGCCTGCTGGATAAACACTTTATTTATACAATATTTTGGGATTTGAATGGCAATTTTGCTACCGAGGAAGTAGAAATTTTAAATATGATTCGGGGACCCTGAGTAAATATTTTAAATTTGAATAAGAGATAAATTTAAATAAGGGACTATCCTAATGTGAAATGCATTCCTCTTGGTATGAAGTGATTTGCAAATAAACAAGAGACGCTGCTTATACAAAATTATCGCAGATTTTGTATAAAAACAAAAGTCTATGATAATCTATGATCTACAAATATATATATTACAATAAGTGTTCAAGCATGAATGGCCACCTCCTCTCCCTCACCGTCAAGCGGATAGTGCGAGAGCAGTCAGGACTATGCCCAACTTCAAGCCCTATGCTCCGTGGGATATCAGGCAATAGATCTATGAAGTCTGATTAGATTTAGTGCAACACTAGCTATCGTATCTCAAGCAGTAGGCAATGTCTCGCTAGGAAATATATTGATGCAGTTTTCTCGAAAATTCCAGCTTTTAGCTCTTCATAACTTTCACACTCGTAAACAGGCACGCAAATGTCGTGATTGTCATCAATATTGAATATATTAATTTATAAATATTTATTTCAATAAAATGTCTATTCTAAACATTTTATCAAGCATGTCGTCAATATGTGAACCTGAGCTAAATCGTCTTAATCTACACTATAACAACAAAGTTGTTCCCGACCATAGGGATATAGAAGGTCAAATTATTTTATAATTGTATAATCTTGAAGAAACTATATACATCTGCTGATTTTAGCTCATAAATAGTTGTTATTTTACATTCAGTTCCTTATCGATTTTATAACAACGATTAAGGTTAATTATAAAGGATAATTAAAATATATATATGTCTATACGCGTTCATACGTAGCTTCGAATGGAAGGACTTCTTTTCATTTATGACCACTTTCTGCCTGCCAGATACATTTTCAGAACTTTGATCTTAGAATTTCCTTTACTACAACTTATTTGAGTCTCCAGAAATTAGCTATAAGCTTAATAATAGTTGAGTGCTCCATTGGCAATTAAATGCCTTAAGCAACAGTTAGCAAAAGAAGAAGGTGGGCAGGGCAACTTCAAGTGAACTTTGCCTTATTTGTAACCAGAGAAATTGTAGAATTTCATCTTGGCTAATAAACTGTGTCAGTCAGCTTTGGCAGCGTTTGAGAGAGCAGAACCAGTTTACTCTTAAGGCCAGCACCACTGCAACCACCTTGCAACACTCACTCACACACACACACGCACACACAGGTAGTTAAAACTGGACAGTGGCAACATTCGAAAAGACAGTAATCACTCAATTTGACAGATAGGCACAATTTTCAGTGGCTCGGTGCCCTGCTACAGACACTTACACGACGGCGGCTACGCGTTAACCGAAGAGGACGTCCTGCGTGGTGCACAGGCGAAACGTATCTAATGCGCGGTCAGCGATTGTTTTGGCTGCAAGTCGCTAGGCGGGTTCGTTGGAAAACGCTTTTACTTTCGTGCTGCATGCAACGGAAATGCTTGTAAATCCGGTAAGCATACGTTGTCAATTGGCAGCGAGCGCCTGGATGCGGCTGGCATTTATAAGCCAAGTGGTTCGTCGAATGGGTTTGGGCGCGCCTCCAGCACCGCGGCGACCCGCTCGACTCGTGAGCAATGAAAGTGCAAACCCGTTGAACGTTTACTTTATGAGTTTGCAATGCAACGCAAATTGCTCCGCTTTGTAAGCGAACAACAACTAAAAAAGCAACTGCAGCTGCAACAATAACAAAGTGGCCGGGTCATTGCTTCCTTGCTGGACCATTGGGTAATTTGAAGCTGCTAGCGTGATGATGCCAGCGAATTCCTTAATTGCTTTGCGACGATTTAAACACCAGCCCCAAACTCCAAATTAAATATGACAATTGCCAGATATTACCCCGTAGACTAGGAAATAGCCCCGAAATTACTTTAGCATATAGATATACCCATATTTTCTATACGTTACTGAGGGAAACTCTTCATACAAGGGAGTTAGAGACCTGCTGGGTCGAGAGAGAGAGAGACAGTAGAGCATGACCATAAGTTCAAATACTTTATATTATATGTACTGAAAAACAAGTTAAAATAAAGCTACGATATATACTATACGATAAGCACTAAGATCTACAAGAAATTATTGAATTCCCGAGCATCTCATGGTAGGAAAATCATCAAAAAATTCTTTTAAGTCAACATCGAATCGAAATAATTTGCAAAGAAACAAACATCGAATAATCGATGAAAAGCTTCTTTTAAAAATGTAAAAAAAATTTTTTATATTTTTGTAAAATTGTATTAATAATAAGCTTTGAATTGATCCATACAGAATATGATAGAAAATCGATTAAGTTTTTACAAATGGTATGTGAGAACTATAACAAAATTAATTCATACTAAATTTGCAACATAAAATATTAATAAAATTTAAATTTAGAAATTGATATCCAATTTGTTCAGAAAAATTATTATATTGTAATTTTTATATTGTATTTTATATTGTAGGTGTTTCAAAGGAGCTTCAAATAACTAAGTCAACATTTTAAATTGGGAAAACCCACTTAATAGCAGATGCCGAAATGGACGTTTGACAATATCTGTCGTCCGAGTGCTGATACCAAAGCCAAAACCACAAAAATAGAAACGTCCATAAGCAAATTGTTACTTAAGCAAAAGCGTTAAAGAAAAGAACTAGTTAACCAGCCAAAAGATTAGGTCAAATTGCTGGATCAGCTAGTTATGCACATATTTATTAAAATACACTCAATATTATATATTTATATAACATATGTAAAATTAAAGCTATATTTTATATTATATTTGTTATTAATGTGCTCCTTACAATATTCATTTATATAAGTATTGTTCCATTCTCTCATATGATTAGAATCTGAAATAGACTTCGATTTTTATATAAAGTATATCTTGCTGGGCAAGCCTAAGCCTAAGAGGAGGTTCGAAACGAGGCAGATACTAGATTGTTCTCTTGTTCGTAAAACAATTACTCAATATGGTTTATAAGAAAAAAACTTAATAATAATGTTGATTTGATTTAATCGAAAATTATTTCCAGAACTTCTTCATGGACATATTGCGCTCGGAGTCCTTTTGCATGACCTTGGAGACGGCCATCTCGAAGTCCTCCTGGGTGACGTGGACACGGCGCTCGCGCAGCGCGTACATGCCAGCCTCTGTGCATACGCCCTTGACCTCAGCGCCAGATGCACCTGGCATCAGCTCGGCAATCTTGCGCAGATTGATGCCGCGCGTCAGATTCATTTTGCGCGAATGAATGTGTAGGATGTCGACGCGTGCCTCTTCGCTAGGTGGTGGGAATTCAATTTTACGATCGATGCGGCCGGGACGCAGCAGTGCCTGGTCGAGCACATCGATACGATTGGTGGCCATAATTACCTTGATGTTCTTGGATGCCTCAAAGCCGTCCAGTTGGTTCAGCAGTTCCAGCATTGTGCGCTGCACCTCCGAGTCGGCGCCTCGGCCCGACTCCAGACGTGCCGAGCCAATTGAATCGATCTCATCCATGAATATGATAGATGGCGCATGCTCCCGAGCCATGACAAACAGCTCGCGCACCATGCGTGATCCCTCGCCAATGTACTTCTGCACCAGCTCCGAGCCAGAGACGCGAATGAATGTGCATTCCGTGTGATGAGCGACAGCGCGAGCCAGCAGTGTTTTGCCAGTGCCAGGTGGTCCATAAAGCAGCACACCCTTGGGCTGGGCAATGCCAAGGGCATCGAACAGCTCAGGATGTTTGATGGGCAGCTCGATAACCTCCTTGATCTCGGTGATTTGCTTGGACAAGCCGCCCACCATTTCGTAGGTTGAGTCCGGCACTTTTTCGACCAACATCAACGAGACAAGCGGATCGACCTTGTTCGGCAAAATCTTGTGCAGTGTATAGCTATCATGTCGGAGTGCCACACGGCTATTGGTGGTCACATCATTGATATCGATATTCTTTTCCACATCGACAACGTATTTCCCATCGTGATGCACCTTGACCAATACCTTTTTCTTATCAATGGGCTTGACCACTTCACCCACATAGCTGCCTTGTTCCTGCAACAGCTGCAGTTCCTCGCGCAGCATACGCACTGCAGCAGTAGGGGATATATGGGAAGTTGGCAAGTAGCTGTTGGCTATTGTATCTCTCCTCTTATTGCTTACCTTTTGAGTTGAGCTCATTGCGCTGAGCTTCAAGGCGCTGCAGATTGCGCTGCTTCTCCGAAACAATGAACTGCAATTCAGCTATCTTTTGCTCAAAGAACGAGGTGAGACCGGTGCTGTCTTTGTCTTTAGGCGGCTCTTTGGGATCATCCATTTGCATCTAAACGGGAATATTATATCGAGTTGGTTGTTATAATTCATTCAGATTCTTTTAACTACACACCGATAAAATGTTATTTATTTAAATTTTCTCAAAACGAATATAAAAACCCTGTACACCAGCCGATTGTTGACGCTTTTATGCTTTACAATTTTTTTGTTTATATGAGATGGCAGTTTTGAATAACAGTGTTGTAAAACGTGTGCACTGTGTGATTCCTTTAATCCCCAAATTTGTACTAAAAATTGCTACTTTTTAAACAAGGATTTTTTTTGTATGAAAGGGAAATACTAAATGCAAGGTATTATTTGCAAACAGTAGTATTTTAAGTATATTCGCTTGGCAGTTAACAAACAAGTGTTTAAAAATATTTGTATGATTTTGCTTGCAGTAAAGCTGGTAAGCTGCATACATGGCTCAGCAGCGATTTTATTTAACAGCCTCAAAGTATGCTATAGTTTTTGCCAAGCCAGCTTCAAATGGCGAGCAAATGTGCAAAATGGTGTTAAATTTAAGAAACAGTTATTTAAAATGATAGTTTAACGGCTTTAAGTGTTGAAATCGGGACAAGCAGCAGTCGTTGACAATAAATTAATAGATTCTGATATCTTTGGCTTTAACAAGACACGAATTCACGTTGGGTTTGTCTAGACTTGCCTTAATTTTCATGCCTTAACAGCTAGAAATTACTTTTTAATTTAATTACTTTCACATAACCACCGATACGATACGATATGCATGTGTGCATTATCTGATTCTAGTTCGCCTATAAATTTTCTATTGCGTGAATCAGTGCGAAATCACGTCGCGTCAATTATTATTGGGAAAGTCTTAAATCTGTGGCTATTATTGATTAGATATTAGAGTCGCTGTTTAAATATGGCAACAGCAACAGCAGCAGTTGACGCATTTTGATTGATTTGAAGCTCGAATAACACAGCAAAGCTATGCAATATTTTTATAGATTGTTTATTTAAGTACTAGTCAGCACTGAATGCTTGGTATTTACGTTTAGGTATATCAATATATATAGATATTTATAATACTATGCGTAGCAATCCGATAGACAACAATGAGGTGCAAAGTTATTTGGATTTTGTTTAGCAAAAGTCGCAGCATTTTGCCAAAAATCAAATCATTCAGCAGCGAATAAATAATGAAAGATTGCTTCAACTTAAATGCTAATTAAATTACGGAAAATAATATTTGACTATTTGGTTGGACTGTTTTCTTGTTGTTGTTGGTGGTAATGATCGTTGGTGACGTTGCGTGGGTTTCGTTCGATCTTTTCATTTTAATTTGAATGTTTGTTTTCGTTTTCTTTGAACGAAACTAGTCGCTGGCCTCGCCAGAGCATTCAAATTGATCTAGCTGAGTTTTGAGCTTGTGTATGTTGAAATAAATAAAAGAGTTTTAAATTAATCTATCATTAAACGAGGTTAGGTCGTCTTGTCGCCCAGCTTGGTATGTAGTTGGCTAATGTCGTAGATCGCCACCAGATCTTTGTTGAGGCCCTCAAATACCTGCGCCACACGCGGCTGCAGATTGTAGAAGAACAGCGGCTGCTGTCGCTGTGCAAAATCCGTGACCATTGTCGATATCACCTTGGCAGCTGTGAAATCAGCTCCATAAATGTGCGTGCAATCTATGACGACCGGCAGCGTCGACTTGACGCCCTGTTTATTGATCACCTTGCGCACAAACTCCATCGAGGGGAAGATGAGACAGCGATCTGGCGTCAGCATCAAATAACGCTGGCCATTCGGCGACTGCAAATGAAAAGAATTCGCTTAGAGCCGAGCTCGAGCATGACATAACATTTGCCACTTACGCTCAGTGTTTCGATGCGCAGCTTGGGGCGCGCCGCCTGGTATAGAATGAAGATCACATTGATGCCGATGCCCACCAGAATGCCCAGCTGCAGCGGCATCACCAGACACGCAAAGAACGCGCCCAATCCGGGTATCAAATCCGTTTCTGTGAAAAGCGAAATGTCAAGCTCTGGCTACAATCCCTCTGCCAGTCTTCCCACTTACTCTTGCTGTGCCACATGGGCTTGATGACGCGATACTGGACCATGAAGATCACCGCGGCAATGATAATGGCCGCCAGGGCCGCCTTAGGAATATAGTAGAAACAGGGCGTGAGGTAGAGCAGCGCAATGATCACGATGACGCTCGTATACAAATTAGACAGCTGCGTGCGCACGCCGCTGGCGTTCAGGATGGCGCCGCGGGCCAGGCCTCCATTGCTGCGCAGACCCTGCACAAAGGAGTTGGCGACATTGCAAATGCCTGAAGCAATCAGCTCTTGGGTGGCATCTGTTGGCTTGCCGTCGGCTATGAAAGGGAATTTACAGATTATTATTTTTTTATTGTTATATAACAACTGAAGTGAGTGTACAAAAACTTACCGAATGCCTGCACCACGGCCATAGTCTCTAGGAGCGCTATCAGTGGCACCACAATCAGGCCGGAGCCAAGTGTGCTGACCATGTCCCAGAAGCTTTGCGCCTGCTGCAGCAGCTCGCCCGTCGTCTCATTCACAATGGCATCCATGTGGAAGGGCGGCGGCCGGAACTCAGGCAATCCTTTGGGCACAAATCCAACGGTGCGCACCAGCTGCTCGTTGCCACTGATGGACAGCCAGTAGCCCAGCGCAGCGGTGGCACAGACCAGCAGAGCATTACGTGCAGTGCCCACCGTCCAGAAGATGCCTGTGAATAGCCGCTGGCAGGAGGATTTGCCCTGCTTGGGCCCCAGACTGCAGCTAGCCAAGGCGCGCAGGCTGAGCAGCACAACGATGCAGGTGATGCCAAGTCCAAAGTCCGGCCAGCTGATGTTTTGTATGTTGTTGACAATGCTAATCCATACTTGGAGGAAGGTGTTGCCGCTGGTCTGTATGCCCAGCAGGTCCTTCATCTGGGAGCTGAAGATGATCAACGAGACGGCGCTGGTGAAGCCCGCACCCACCGGTCCCGACACAAAGTCAATCAGAAAGCCCAGCTGGAACATGCCCATCAGTATCTCAATGATGCCGCTGAGGAAGGTCAGCAGCGTGGCCATCTGCCAGCTGCCGCCGGCAATTTGAAACGAGAGCAAAGCCGAAATGGCCGTCGGTCCGATGGGCACATCCTTGCTGGAGCCGATGAATATGTAAATGAAGCAGCCCAGAAAGCACGCATACAGTCCATACTGCAGATCGAGTCCAGCAATGCCGGCGTAGGCCAGAGCCTGCGGTATCACAGTCAGAGCCACCGAAATGCCGGCCACGATGTCGCCAAAGATGTAATCCTTTTTATACTGCGGCAGCCAGACGAGTATGGGGAAGCGTTTCTCCAGGGTCTTGCGACGAAAGATGTTCGCCCAGGTGCTGCGGCAGCAGTCCTTCCAGCCGGACATCACCGGCTCCTCCTCCTGCTGTACGATGCAGTCACGCGACGTGTGATACAGCGTGTTCGTCGGTATATCCACTGATACATCAGCGCCATTAAAGGCGCTATTCACATGCCCCGTATCTTTGGCAGTCATCTCAAATGACGTCGTCGACACACAATGACACACACAGCTCTATATGTACTCTCTACTTGTACTTGTGTCGCGTTGAAAGCTCACGTCTGTGGTACTTATTGCGCTTTTTGTTTTTGTCCAATTTGCTTTTGTCAGCGATGGCGTTGGCGTTGGCTTCATCTACGGCTTCATCTCACTGTCACAGGGGCAAGTCGCAATCACTTCACTTCACTTCACTTCACTTCATGCCGCGCGTCAAAGCAAAACTAAATCCGAAAGCCAAACTATTCGCGAGCGCGTCAAATGCGGGAATGAAACGAATTCGAGATCGAGCCAGAAGCAGAGGTAACAGCAGCAGCAGCAGCAGCAGCAGCAGCAGCAGAAGCAGAAGCAGCGCTCAACTGTAGCCGAATGGCTGGGAACTGATTATAAATAGGTGCGAGTCGCGAGTGGCAATCCGCTCGTGTCACACGGCAAACGCCGCCCAGCAGCAGCAGCAGCAGCAGAGGCAGCGCCGACGTTCGAGACTCAGCGCCGGCTTTCGTTAGAGCAACACGAAAATAAAAAAAAATAAATAAACCGGCTTGTGTCTGTGGTCTCTGGGTGTCTCGAGTATCGTGTAACACATCTAGTCGAACCAAAAGAAATGTTAATTGTGCAGCCTCTTCTTGCCTGCCTTGTAAGCGCATGGAGTTCCCAGCAGCAGCAGCTGCAGGTTAACTCCTACTGCTTGCACTTTTAGGGAAATTCAGGCTTTTCAAGTTTCTTACATGCACGTGCTAAAAGCAACAACAACAACAACAGCAGCAAGCATACGCAACCACAATGCAAATCTTATTGAATATATTTTATTCCGATCGCATTGAAAGCGAATTTCACACCAGTCACATGACTCGTCTGTTGGCTACGCTTAATTCCCCACATAATTAAAATACAAAAAAAAAATAAATAAATAAAAATAAAAAATAAATAATAATAAGCTTTCATATTGGACTCTTGGCATTCTTTAACTGTATTTTACTGTCGTTCTATTAGTGTAAGCTTGCCTGTGGAATGTTCGTATAGAATGACAGTGAAGTGAATACGTAAGATGACTTTTTTCGATTTTTACGAAAGCTTGAGTAATTCGAGCATTTATGTCAACTATAATGAGCTCCTTTTTCAACTAAAAAATTCCGCTGTCACGTTAAGTCAGCAAGTGAAATTATTTATTTAGCATGGGAATATTTGTATTGAAATTGAATTTGCCCAATTGTTTATTTTTATTTGAAAGTTAAAATGCCAAACAAATGGCAAATTAACAATATAGAACTTTTACGCTTATCACTGTAAAGTGGGATATTTGTAGTTAAATGTCCCTAGGCGCGCGAACTTACTTACTTACTTGCCGTAAATGGGCCTTTAATAAATGCCCAATTAAAATACCACTTGACACGTTTTACAGCACTGGAAAAGAACGACTACCACAAGGGGAAATTAATCAGCAGAACGGTGGCGGCGCCGGTGACGACGTAATAAAAAAATAAAACAATAAAAAAAGCATTGCAATCGTAAATAAATCAGCTTTGAAGTGCGTCCACAATAAATCAGTTATGAATATTGGTTTAGATAAAGACAATTTGAGTTTAGAAAAATTAATCAGAAGCCACTTAATACATATAAATGTATATTTGTATATATATTTATATATATATCTAACCCTGTCTATCAGCAGAGCCAGGAAGTGTTTTTAATTTAG